GCATTAAATAAGAAGTTAACTTCTCATACTATGCTCTATGTGCTTACTTTAAATCATAAAGAGTCTTTTTAAGATGAAACACAAAATCAGGATTATGTGGATCAATGAAACTTTTTGGTTATGCTTCATAAACTTCTTCCTGCAAAATACCATTTAGAAAAACACTTTTCACATCTATTTGAAACAATTTGAATTTAAAGTGACATGCAAGAGCAAAAAGAAGTCGAATAAACTCAAGTCTAGAAATAAGTGCAAAAGTCTCATCAAAATCAATTCCTTCAACTTGAGTGTATCCTTGTGCAACCAATCTAGCTTTATTTTTCATCACAAGACCATGTTCATCAAGTTTATTTTTAAAAATCCATTTGATTCCTATGATATTAACATCACTAGGTCGAGGCACTAGTTCCCAAACATCATTCTTCACAAATTGAAGTAATTCTTCTTGCATAGCCATAAGTCAATTAGAACTTTGAAGTGTTTCATCAACATTCTTAGGTTCAAACTGAGCCATGTGACATGAATGTTCTATGTCATCTACAATGCATGATTGTCCTGTATGATCACGGACTGTACTCCTAGTACCATGCTGATCCCATGAACCTATCACTTTGTCAACTGGATGACTTGATCGAACTCTAGAACTGCTAGATGTGGGAATATCTAAAGATGGTGCAAGAATTCCTATAGGTTCATCAGGGGTGACCTCTAATTCCTCATCCTCATTTTCTTCAACCTCTTTACCTTCTCCACCTAAATTCTCAACTCTTTCTTCCTCATGAATTGTAGGTTCTTTCCTTTCTCCTACAATTTCAAAATTAGTTTTTTCTTTATCAAGTTGAGAAGAGGTTGTCTTAAATTTTGAATCATCAAAAACCACATTTATAAACTCCATGGCCACTTTGGTTCTAAGATTAAAAACCCTATAAGCCCGACTTGTTTGTGAATAACCCAAAAACACACCCTCATCACTTTTAGAGTCAAATTTTCCCAAGTGTTCCCTATCTCTAAGGATATAACATTTACTTCCAAAGACTCTAAAGTATTTGACAGTGGGCTTTCTATCATACCATAATTCATATGAAGTCTTTTTAGTTTCAGGCCTAAAATAAAACTCTATTTAAGATATGACAAGCAGTACGTACTGATTCAGCCTAACAGTGATTTACAATTTTATTCTCATGGAACATAATACATGCCGTACCTACAATTGTCCTATATTTCCTTTCCACTACACCATTCTGTTATGGTGTTTTAGGTGCTAAAAATTCATACTTAATACTATTCTTATCACAATATTCAATAAACTCCTTAGATTCGAATTCACCTCCATTGTTGCTTCTAATTCGATTAATTCAATATCCCTTCTCATTTTGAATAAGTTGGCAAATAGACCTGAAATTCACAAAAGTATCAGATTTTTCTCTCAAATATGCAACAAAAGTAAATCTAAAAAAATCATCAACCATAACAAGCATATATCTTTTTCAACCAATGCTATTAGGTGTTATGCGACCCATTTAATCCATATGAATCAATTCTAAAGGTCGAGAAGTGACTTTATGAACAAGTCTCTTATGTGACACTTTAGTTTGTTTTCTTAATTAACATGGACCACATATTTTATTCTTAGACATCTTCAATTTAGGCAAACCTCGAACAAGATCATTATTAGACAAATTCACTAAATCATTAAAATTCACATGTTCAAGTCTTTTATGCCATAAAACTGCCTCATCAGTAACTGTAGAAAAGCATATTAGTGAAGGATCTGAAAATACATCATAGCAATTATCAGAAGTTCTAGTTCCTTTCTAGATACATTCACCTTTTTCATTAGTTACAAAACACCCTTGTTGAGTAAAATTGACTTGAAACTCATTATCACAGATTTGACTAATACTCAACAGATTAGCAGCTAAACCTTTAACATATAGAACATTTTTTAACTCCCCAATTCCTGAAAATTTGATCTTACTTTTATCACTTACAGTAGAAACATAACCATCACCAAAAGTAACAGTACCAACTGAGTATTCCTTAAAAGTGGTAAACAATGTTCTATCCCCTATCATATGCCTAGAGCAACCACTATCAAAGTACCAACCACATGGACCAAGTACTCTAAGTGTAGTGTGCATGGCAAGGCATTTAATTTTTTTTTTCTTACCCCAAACAATGTTAGATTAATTATGCAATGTTTTCCCTATTGTTCTAGGCAAAGTGTCACAAGGTTCAATAGTCCTAATCCTCTTATTCTTCAAATTTGAACTATTTAGATTTTTTTAATTTATTCCCTAGTTCAATTTTTTTTTTCTGACACTTATACTTGATATGCCATTTTTCACCATAAAAATGACATGTTGAAATAAGTTTGATAGAACTAGAAATAACACAAGGTTTGGTTTCAACTTTTACAAAAACATCTTTAAATTTTTGAAAATATAAATCATTTGAGGTTGATGCCAAATCTTTGTTACTCCTAATATTTTCAACCACTCCTTTCAACTTATCAATTTTGCAAGTGTCAATATTAACTTTCTGAAAAGACTGTTTTGATTAAACAAATTCACTACTCAAATTATCAATTTTAAGTTCCAGTGATTTATTAAACAAATTTACTTTCTTAAGCTCCTTTTCAAGAAAATCAATTTTATGAAGAAGATTCAAATTCTTATGGCTAATTTCTTCCAAATTTTTGTTAGAGACAGAAACTTCTAATTTATAAATATCTCTATCAAGTTCCGCAAGATTCAATTTCTCTAACAGATTTTCAAAATCCTTTTTAAACTTTGACCACTCAATTTGCATGCTTGTGATAGAATCAAAAACATGAGGTAAAGCATCAACAAATGAATTTTCAGACATGATACAAAAACAATCAACAATAAATCAACAAATATGATCTACTCTGTATATCGAGTATCCCTCTCTGATACCAAATTGTGAAAATAAAGTTACGTGGGGTGCGGAACAGTTAATTAATTTTAATTATGATTAACTCCTTTAATGACCTAGATCTGGTTATTAGGTCAACTTGTTCAATTTCTGATTGATTAAATTAGTTGATAAATTAAACATCCACAATCATAAATATAAATACTTAAAAGTAAATCAAGTTCAGTTTAGAGAGATTGTACTAGAATTTTTAGCAAGGAAACCCCAGTTGATAAAATACGTCAACTGTTTGCATGGGAAAAACCTCATGGACTATTCAGTCCAAAGTTAACCGATCGACTATGTTTGAAATAAAGTACACCGAACTTTGACTTTGGCTCACACCCTATCGTTCTACCACACACCAATTGTTGACAATCCTCTGGCTTTACGACTTCCCGTCCAATAGCAACTTGACCTCAGGCTTATACTTGATATTTGTAGAAGAGTAGCAGGTAGATCAGACAACACTCCTCGAATGCTCCAACCAGGGGTGGACACAGAGGTAGGCAAAGGTGGGCTGTAGCCCACCCCAAAATTTTTTTATTTTTTATACTATACTAATAAATTATCCCAGCCCAAAAAATACAAAAAATTAATAGTATTAGCTCACCCCAAAAACCCAATGAAGCCAAGTAAACTCAGCCACCATACTAAAATAAAGGCCCAAATCAATTCTTTAGTATTCATGTTTAATGTTAGCCCACCCCACCTAGAAATCCTGGATCCGCCCTTGGCTCCAACCCTTTTAAAGTGTGATCGTTTTTACTTCTATTCTTCAAGATCTGAACTTGATGTAGAAGAATTAAATCCTACTCTTCATACGGAATATCTGAATCTTCAATATACCTCCAATTCCGATGAGATAGAGAACAACACTACTAAATCACATATGTATGTGCTCTCATAAATAAATTCAGAATAATCAGATTTGATTTTCTGAATTTTTCTCTCTAAAAGGCTTTCTCAAAATATAGAATTGATTTTCCCTAAAATCATTAATAAACCTGGAAGACTAACAAGGTTTATATAGAGTTTATAAAGTCCTAATCCCTCAGAAAATATGAAAAATTTCGTGCATAGGACTTGGTAAGAAGTTGGGATCAAAAAGGAAACAATCAGACAAGGTAACTTGAAATTGGAATAGTACCAGGACTTCTTGAACCAGTTCAAAGGGGCTGAACTGGTTCAAGATGACCAGTAAAGAATCCCTCGGATTCTTGAACTGGTTCAGCCCCTTGAACCGGTTCAAGATGGCCAGTCTTGAAACTTAGGCAATTCTGCTAATGTTGAACCTGTTCAATAAATCTTGAACTAGTTCAAGATGGACAGAATGTAAAATCTTGTTTAAAACCCTTCAAAACCCTTCATAAATGTTCTCACTACCTCTCAACCTTTTTAGAGCATTGTTCTTATCATCTCGGAGTGTAGTATATCATGAACATTTGAACTTCTTCAAATCCACATCCGATCTTCAATCTTCGAAATTTTGAATCGAAAAATTACAACTCGATCGGACTTGTTTTTGACAACGAAATTAACCAATTACAAAATATATCTCACAGGTTCAACATCAGTACGTTTTCAAGGAAATAAAATGGATTGATGGTTGGCTAAAATTTAGAAGCATGACATGGTCTATATAATTGCAAATAACATTAAATTTATATGTTTTTGGATCTCATGTACGTTGAAAACTATATGCATTGTTGAGATTAAAAGATTGGAAGGCCTTTTTGTAGGAAATGTGTATCTAAAAATATGTATTCACTCATATTGACATGTAATTCAACTGCAAGTTAGTTTGCCTTGTATTCACCATTTGACCAAAGTTAGTAAGGTGAGGCCTAAATAACCATGTTTGTGGGTAATATTGAAGCACACAACTTAACGTACGCACATGTTTTTGGAGTCATGCTAATGACATATATATTCTTAAAAAAGTTATCAGATTTGTGAATAAGCTTTTCGACATTTTATATAATAATAATACTTATATTTTTTTAGCAGTCTTGGCATTCTGTTATTGATTTGAATAATGAATATGTATTATGTGAGTGCAGATCTATGGGTACAGAATGTCACTATGGGCAGAGCACATTGGTTTTCTCGAGGAATGTTTTGAGCAACCTGATAGTCTTGAATGTACGAGACGAGTAAGGTCACTGAGTGAGCTGAACTGGAAACAATATGTTGCTGATAAAGTTACTGAAATGAAGGGTCACCTTCTTAAGTACCCGGTTGCAGTTGATCCAACAGGCAAGGTGAAGCCTCTTCCTGGTTGTGAAACATTTCCAGATGTGGGGGGAAACATTGTGGGAACATTTAGAGTCACAGAATCTATCACCATTTGATCACCCTTGGTCACCAACCTCCTCTTGTTAAGCTTTTCTAATACATGACGCAAAATTCTGCTCAAGTTCTGGTTGAACCAGTGTCTCATGTATCCATTATTTTATTGTACTTTCTATTTTCAGGGGGCAATTTCTGTTAGGAAACGTGCTAGTTTTAAAAACTTTTCGAGGGATTTTCATTCACAGATCTTGATTCTTCACATAGAGACAAGTTTTATGCAAAAATAAAACATGATGTATCATTCAATTAACAAATTGAATACTTACATCAAAGGTCTGAGTAAACCTTTAAATCTTTCATCCAAAGTGAATGTTCTCACTTATTGTAGATCCCTCAGCAAGATACATTCTCCTTGGATCTTCATCTTCTTGGTAATTGTTGTACCTTTAGGAATCACTCATAAGCCTCCATGAATGACCTTGGAAAACTAGGCTTGTGGGAGCCTCCATTAGATAAGAACACTAACCTTAATTTTCTAAAGAAATAAAATATATTCATTTTTCCTTCTTCCTAAAGTCACCCTAAAATATACATAGACCATGTATATATATACGCAACATAAAGATAAAGAAAATGAAATAATAAATCATTCTCAATCTCTAATTCACATGTCTCAAATCTAATAGGATTCTAATATCAAGTTGGGCTATGAGTGAGAATCCTTTAGGCTTATTATTTTATTGGCTACAATGAATTAATAATTGGCCCGGTCCATGAACCCAATTCAATTAATTCATAAATTAATTTCTACTCTACTAAAAGAAATTAATTGAACTCCAATTAAATAATAAATAACTGGTGGCGGTTCGTCGTCCTCGTACTACAAGCTTAGAGAGTATGCATTAAGGTGAGGGCCAAGTTTTACATTTATAGAAGCCACTACTACCTTCACTAAAAATATAGTTAGGGTGAGTAGGGATCGTCCCAAGGGATTAGAGTCGTATTAGCTTGTGAAATCACAATTAGGGTTAGTAGGTCAAGTGATCAAACAAATGGTTGATTGGTTGATTAAATTAGAGAGGAAATTAAACTAAATAATTTAATGCAATAAGGAGTAAGTAAGAGAGAGAGAGTTATTGGGGTTTAGAGGTCACCACCAAGCAATGCTTTTTTACACCCTTAACTAGTGACTAATGAGGGAAATGTGTGTTGCAATATTGATGTGTGTGTGTGTTTGGTTGATTCAATTAGGAAGGGTGACCAATTAAGCATACATTGTCTAATCAACTCCAATCCCTTGGGACGATCCCTACTCACCCTAACTATATTTTTAGTGAAGGTAGTAGTGGCTTCTATAAATGTAGGTCAAGTGATCAAACAAATGGTTGATTGGTTGATTAAATTAGAGAGGAAATTAAACTAAATAATTTAATGCAATAAGGAGTAAGTAAGAGAGAGAGAGTTATTAGGGTTTAGAGGTCACCACCAAGTAATGCTTTTTTACACCCTTAACTAGTGACTAATGAGGGAAATGTGTGTTGCAATATTGATGTGTGTGTGTGTTTGGTTGATTCAATTAGTAAGGGTGACCAATTAACCATACATTGTCTAATCAACATATGAAAAGCACAATATATCTAGCAATTAAGTATATATTGTCTAAATAGCATGTGAAAAGCACAATATGTCTAGCAAGTCATTAATCCTTTCATTAAGCTCACAAGCCAAATACACCACAAGGTTAGAGACATATGCTACTTGCATTCAAAAGTATGGAACATCGAACAACAAGTATGGATTGTCCTCCCATCTAACAACTATGCTACCACTACACTACAATTAAGTTAATGACATGAATTAAACTAATAAACTAAGGGAGAGGCACAATCCATCAAGAAATGAGCATGAACCATCTAGAAAATCACAAGAGCATTTCTTTAAACATAATGTTTTGACAATCTCTAGATCTATGGCATTAATACATATAGACATGCATTAATAACACAAGAAATAGAAACAAATACATGAACATCTATTCTAGCATACATAGACATATGGATAGAATGAAATGATCAATTGGAAGCATTAAACTATATAAATCATTGAATAAACAAGATCTATATATATAAAAGTGCCAAAACATGTATTACAACACTAATCCCTTAATAATACACAAAATCAAGATGTAGAAAGCATGTTTGGGGCTAACTCTAGCACCAAGATGATGTCTAGCCACTCATGGTGGTGCTTCTCCAACCCTCAAGGGCTAACTCCATAGTAGAGATTTGCTCCTTGGTTGATGAAGAGTCTCCAATAGTGTCTCTAGCCTCCTCCTCCTCTAAGCTTGCTCTCCAAGAGTTCTTAAAAGGTATATGAGATGATATGATATAAGGTGCTCTCATGTAAAAAGTAATCCTTATCGTTATATAGGTAGGTCAAAGTGACACACAAAATGAGCTGGGGTCATGCACAAAATATTCCCCAATGATTTGATGAAGGACAACTTTCAATGAGCTGGAAATTTAACTTTTTTGCACTAGAGGAAGTTTGATCAATTGAACCTTGGATTTGAATCGATCGAACATGGCTGAGATCTATCGGACTTAGGCTGGATTGATCTTCATTGGTGGCGCTTTTTGGATAAAGACAAATCTGAGATATTTTGAAGATATTTTTGGGAAAAAGACAAAAGTGGTTGGTAGGGTGGTACAACTAGATAAGATCAATCATTTGGATAAGGACAAGGCAGTTCGATCGATCGAAAAATGATGTTGGATCAATCGAACTTTTGAGGTCTCTGAAAATGTCATCATGGCTCTGATCCATCGTGAAGTGCTGAGATAGATCATGTTGGATCGATCGAACTTTGATCTGAGATCGATCGAAGATGTTGAATTCCACCTTTTTCTTCCTTTTGCTTCCACTTAGCTCATTTCTTTTATTCATCCCAGAATTGCTTCATTTCTGCTCTTATTTGGCTGAGTTAGCTTATTTTCGGGATAAGTGCCTAAAAATGGAAATAATACGAAATCAATCTAAAACGGTAAAGTAAGATAGATAAAGATACTATAATGTCTAAGCTTAAGGGGTTTAAATACGCACTTTTCAGCGCTCATCACACCCCCAAACTTAAATATTGCTAGTCCCTAGTAATGAACTACGAAGTAAAGAAATGAAATGAACAACTAAACAACTATAACTAGAAAGCAATAAATTGATAATGCCACTTTCGTAGGGAACACGATTGCACTTAGCATATGCAACAAGCCTTTTAAACCTCTAGGTTAACCCTAGTGGACGAGTGAAGTCTCGTGAGGGTTTCCAGAAATGATACCCATAAACATTAAGCTCATTCTCACAAAAGAGGCACCAATATTACAAACAAGCATTGGGAGAAAACTACCTCAAGTATGCAATATTTCAAACATTTCCGAGCAATCTCCTAAAATCTCAACATCAAGTAAGCAAGTATGGTCCTCTACACATCAAGAAAATTATCATGCAAATCAAAACAACTCTAGAATCCTTTTTGAGTGGATCAGCATCAAATGTGTTGCTATCTTAGCTAACTAAAGAATTAATCACATCCTTACCCTCAAACTAACACACAAATCTAGTACCGATCATCAAGACAAAAAGTGGACATTTTATTAAAGCTTTATTGTTCTAGGTGCGCTTATTCTTTTCACTCATATATTATTATTTTTTATTATTATTATTATTATTATTATTATTATTTTATAGGATCAAAGATGGAAGCATGGTGCAATGTGTTGATCTATTAAGCTTTCTAGCGATTCATGAGGTCGAGCGTTAGGTCAATGACTCCCAAACCAGACGGCTTTAGGGCATTAGGCATTCAAACACCCTTACGAACTTACAATCTCAAATCAACTAGGTTACAAATTAAAACAACCTCCATCTAATCATTTCTCACTTCTCACTTTTTGGGAGAAGTCCTCACTTTTTTTATTGTTTTTGCAATTTTTCCTTTTCTTTTTTTTTTCTTTTTTTTTTGAATAAATAATTATTAACCTAGAGTTTGGGCCCTCCACCTTTTGGTGCGAGAAGTTCAATGCTTAATGAGGCTAGAATCCCGGCTACTTAGTGAAAATGGGTTATTATCCACCTTTATCAAGAATAAAAGTTTTCAATGCACTACTAGTCCAGTTGGGATATAACCAATTCAATAATCAACAAAGCATGTACCCCACAAATGAATGCTAGTGTGCGCCTATGCTAGTGTAGAATCCTAAAGTGAATCTCAAAACAATTACAAAATCAAGTGGACCACAAATGCAAGCAAGATATCAATCTTTCGAAAAATTTACTCCTAAATGGCATCCATAAGGCATAGAAGGAGTATTGGACTCTCAAGCCAAGCAATTTTAAATTTTAAGCAATATAATCCTCAAAAGATCAAAATCATAACTAGATATGGACCAATCATAGAAAATCTCTCAAATACACAAGTCATGCTTAAAATTTTGAAGTTTAAAGCTAACACTGTAAAGTACACCGTTACCCCCAAACTTAAACGGCACAATGTCCTCAATGTGCAAAGAGAACAAAAGGAAAGAGTATACCGGTGCAATTAAGGTATAGAATGATCGGGACTGAAGTATCCAAATTGGGTGGCATGCTCCCCCCCCCCCCCCCCCCAAAAAAAAAACTTGGGATTAACTGTGGTCCTGAAATTTGGCACTCGGATAAACTCATCAGATAACAAAAAGGAATAATCAGTACACAGTGGACATGCAAGTGTAAATGAAATAAAGTAGTGAGATGGGTATAAGGGTGGTCCTGAAAATCGGGTAGCACTCTCTCACTGAAGTCACTGTAATGTACCTGATGGAGTCAAACATACAGAGATAAGAATATAACAGATGACATCCATAACAAAAACATATATAAAGAAAATAGAGTACTGGATACATCAAAAGATCAAAGCTGACAGACCGACTGCAAATAATATATAGTGACAACAATGAAGTATAGAGCACAGAGGTGTAGTATAAAAAGATAAAAAAACTAAAAATCTCATGTGGACGAGGCAGGACGGGTAGGGCGAGCTCCGCGGATATCGCAAGATAAGTCTCAGAATGCAGTCATGACATCCGTGCGGAATGTAGCAAAATCAGCTCGATGGGCAACAGCATCGGCTCGAATAGCAGCAGTATCAGCTCTGATAACAACTACTGCATCCTCAAGAGCCTGAAGACGCTCTCCAAAGCCGGGGGTCTG